GGGCAGAGCCGATGAGAATAACATCAGGCAGCGTGCATCACCTTCAGTTTCCGCAGAAAAATAAAACACAATAAAGATATTTCCATTTGTAGAAATAAAAAGAGATCAGCTCAGGGCCGTGACCTGCTACAGCGTTGGAGCAAATCCAACAGGAAGATTTTGTATCGAGGTAATAAAGGGGAGAGTAGCTATTAGGACTCTTCTGGCTCCTTCGCTCTACTCCAGGAAAGGATTGGAAAGGGGAGGAACAGCAGTTAACGCAGTCACTGGAGGGAGGATGAGAGACACAGAGAGAGACACAGAGAGACAGAGAGACAGAGAGAGACACAGAGAGACAGAGAGAGACACAGAGAGACAGAGGACACCAGGAGGGAGGGAGGGAGGGAGAGAAGGAAGGATGCAAGCCAGTTAAACTTTTCTTCCTGTTTTTCCGAGAATGGCTTTCACTTGCCTCCCTGGCCACTGAGAGGTCGAAGTCACATTTTTCTAGCTTCTCCACCACGGAGGGCAGACTCTTACTTCCAACTCCAGACAGGAAAACCCTGGAGAAAAAGCGTGCCTGGCTTGGTTTCCCCACATTCCCATCCCTTAGACCAATCTCTGGGGCCAGCGTGGTGAGCTCCTGTGATTGGCTCTGGTTCAATCACATGACTGCCAGTGGCCCTATGACTGGTTCAGCTTTAGTCACATGGCTCCTTGAGATCTCCGATGGGTTCAGCTTCAATCACGTGACTATTCTTGGGGATTCTACATATGGTTGGAGTGAAAAGAGGAGTGTTTCCACAAAGAAGGGAAGTGCTAAGCAGACAGAAGGAATACAGGCATGTTACAGGAAAGCAAAAAGGGTCCAGCATATTTTTAGGCACACAGCAGCTGTTCCGCAAGTCAGCCTTCATCCATTAGTCTTTTTTTTTTTTTTGACAGGCAGAGTGGACAGTGAGAGAGAGAGACAGAGAGAAAGGTCTTCCTTTGCCGTTAGTTCACCCTCCAATGGCCCCCGCGGCCGGCGCACTGCGCTGATCCGATGGCAGGAGCCAGGTGCTTCTCCTGGTCTCCCATGGGGTGCAGGGCCCAAGCACTTGGGCCATCCTCCACTGCACTTCCTGGCCACAGCAGAGAGCTGGCCTGGAAGAGGAGCAACCGGGACAGAATCCGGCGCCCTGACCGGGACTAGAACCCGGTGTGCTGGCGCCGCAAGGCGGAGGATTAGCCTAGTGAGCCGTGGCGCCGGCCCCATCCATTAGTCTTAACCCCACGTTCCTTACCCAGAAATGGGACTCTCACAATGCTGGTGGTGAGGATGGAGAAACATACTTTTGTACCTAACAGCGCAGGGACATAGTAGCTGACTGATAAACTCCTCTGCCTTTACCCTTTCCAGAGCCAGAGGTGCAAGAAGACCACCACGTAAATAACTCCAAGCTTGTAAGGAGATGGGCTTGAGCACGGCCCCCTCCAGGACCCCAGCAACTCCAAAGCAAATACAACCTGAGAAACACTGCTCTTACCACTTAGTAATTAGGCCATGATTGTTGTTTATCTGTGCGCTGTACTGTAACTCCCTCTGCCCGGGGGCTGGTGCTAGCGCTCAGAAAATAGAATTTCCTCCAAACTAATTTAGTTTTGAGAGGAAAATGAAAGTTTAAAGTAGTTTAATGTTTCAGCAGAACCATAATGGCTGGAGAAGATTGGACAATGTGAACCAATAAAGCACCCGCATTCTGGTAATAACTCAGGGCTTAACGCTGCCCACATCAACACCCTTCCCGATGTGGACACTCGGCACAGGACAACACGATTCAGTGGACGTTTGCACAATCATTCTTCCTTATTTTTTTAATAAGCAGCATCACTTTCGACTTCAGCGGCACCATGTGGACAGTTGTTAATGTCACTTTCGAAGCCCAGCAGTTACACCCAAGAGGCAACCCCGCGAGTGATGCGTTTTCATCCCCACGTTTTCCTCAGACCTGAGATGCTCAGGCTAAGAGTTCCATCCTTGGGCTGCACTCATAAGAGAGTTGCTGAAAACGCCCGAGGTAAAACACGGCTGGAAAACGTGCAACCTCAGGATAGAAAAGCCTTTACAAAGCGGAGAGGAGAAGGGCTTTGCAGGGTTGTAGTGAGCATTAAACAGGGTAGTAATGCAATGGACAGTATCTGGCCAGGAAGACGAAGGCAGTTGTAAAGGGAGAGGGAGGAAGAAAGGGACACCTCTTATCTGCTGGTTCACTCCCCAAGTGGCCCCACCAGCTGGGGCTGGGCCAGGCCAGTCACGAGTCTGGACCTCCCTCCAGGTCTCCCACATGGGTGGCAAGGACCCACAACTTGAACCGTCATCTGTAGCCTTCCAGGCACATCAGCAGGAAGCTGGATCAAAAGCAGAGGGGGTAGGCAAGACTCGAGCTAATACGGGATGCACACATCCCAAGCGGCGGCTTCCCCCTGCCCACTGCATGAGCGCGCACTCCTTCATCATCCGCCCCTTGCCTACCTGTGGACCACACTCCGCAGCCACCAGGTCCCACACCCTGACATCTTTGTTTCTCCAGTGTGCTGCTGTGTGGAAGCCGTGCCTCCTCCATGCCTCCTCCATCTCGGCCCATCTGGCTTCTCCCCCATGAGTTTCCATGCAGCTGTTGTCTCTTCAGCTTAAACACCACCCTTGCCTGCCCGGGCGCCAACCGATTCCCTTCTCTCTGTTCCCTCCACGGCCTTCTCTCTCCAGATGCTTAACTTTGTTTTCTTCTTAACTGCCTCTGCTGTGGGCCACGTGGGGTCTAAATTCCTGTTCCAGGCTCTTGCCTCTCACCTAGTACACGCACTTTGCTCTCTAAGTACATTCACAAATAGAACTTATGGCAAGTGATAGTGTATTACAAAGGTGAGGTAGTCACACACACACACACACACACACGCACACACGAGGGCTGTGTTCAAGAATAGAAAGGACTGGAAAGGGAAGACATGAGAGAGAGAGAGAGAGAGAGAGAGACTTCACTAACCTGCCCCTTCTTTTTTTTTTTTTTTTTTTTTTTTTTTTTTATTTTTTTTATTTTTGACAGGCAGAGTGGACAGTGAGAGAGAGAGAGAGAGAGAGAAAGGTCTTCCTTTGCCGTTGGTTCACCCTCCAATGGCCGCCGCTGCAGCCGGCGCACCGTGCTGATCCAATGGCAGGAGCCAGGATCCAGGTGCTTTTCCTGGTCTCCCATGGGGTGCAGGGCCCAAGCACCTGGGCCATCCTCCACTGCACTCCCTGGCCATAGCAGAGAGCTGGCCTGGAAGAGGGGCAACCGGGACAGAATCCGGCGCCCCAACCGGGACTAGAACCCGGTGTGCCGGCGCCGCAAGGTGGAGGATTAGCCTATTGAGCCACGGCGCCGGCCAACCTGCCCCTTCTGAAACCACAGGAAGAGGAAGCATTCCTTGCCCGGCTTCTTTTGAGCTTGGAGCTTGGAAAGGGGCATGGTTACAAGGCACTGCCCCCAGGTCAGGGGAGGTACATCCTGGGGAAGAGATCATGTGATTGACAGGTTGGCAGAAAGGATTACACGGGGCGGGGCAGGGGGAAGTGTGGCTTCCAGTTAGCTACCTGCCTTATCCCACATCACTACCATTAACAGGTACCACTGTTTGCTGGTTTCCTCTCTGTCTCCTACTATTTCCTGAGTTCCATTAGGACAGGTGTTTCTCAGGGAGTACAAGTTGGTATCCCCAATAAGTATGAGAGCCTAGCATAGGGCTGATGCTTATGAAAATTTGTAGAATGAACTATGTATTGGGGACCAGCACTGTGGCATAGCAGGTAAAGCTGCCGCCTGCAGTGCCAGTATCCCATATGGGCACTGGTTCGAGTCCTGACTGCTCCACTTCCAATCCAGCTCTCTGCTGTGGCCTGGGAAAGCAGTAGAAGATGGCCCAAGTCCTTGGGCCCCTGCACCCGTGTGGGAGACCTGGAAGAGGCTCTGGCTCCTGGCTTTGGATCAGTGCATCTCCGGCCATTGTGGCCAATTGGAGAGTGCATCAGTGGATGGAAGACCTCTCTCTCTGCCTCTTCTCTCTGAGTAACTCTTTCAAATACATAAATCAATTTTTTTTTTAAAGAGAGAGATGTATTTGAGGTGCTCAGCAGAAAAAACCCAATGGCTGTCTTCCCTGCTTTGACCACTGTGGTTCAATTTTACTAATATAAAAATGTCCTGCTTATTTAGGGAGTCACCCAGACATTCCAGTGGGAAAGCTCCTTAGAAGCGCCCGAGACTTCTGAACACCTCCCCTCTTTCTTGTCACTTCACTAGAACTCCTGTTTCTTGGGGTCTTGTGTACCCAGCTTAGAAGTTCTAAATTTTTGAAGAAAATTTATTTATTTATTTTTAAAAGACTTACAGAGAGTAATCTTCCATCCACTGGTTCACTCCCCAGATGGCCAGGTGAAAGCCAGGAGCAGGGAGCTTCATCCAGGTCTCCCATGTGGGTGGCAGGGGCCCAAACCCTTGGGCCATCGTCCACTGTTTTTCCCAGGCCATTAGCAGGGAGTTGGTTAGAAGTGGAGCGGCCGGAGCCGGCGCCGCGGCTCAATAGGCTAATCCTCCGCCTAGCGGCGCCGGCACACCGGGTTCTAGTCCCGGTCGGGGCGCCGGATTCTGTCCCAGTTGCCCCTCTTCCAGGCCAGCCCTCTGCTGTGGCCAGGGAGTGCAGTGGAGAATGGACCACGTGCTTGGGCCCTGCTCCCCATGGGAGACCAGGAAAAGCTCCTGGCTCCTGCCTGCTGCCTTCTCATCGTCTCGGTGCGACTGCCGCAGCGCGCCATCCGCGATTTCCAGAGGAGTTTGAACCAACGGCAAAGGAAGACCTTTCTCTCTGTCTCTCTCTCTCACTGTCCACTCTGCCTGTCAAAAATCTGCAAGATATGTCCATATGGAGCGGCCGGAACATGAACTGGCACTCATACTGGATGCTGGCATCAGCTTTACCCACTATACCGCAATGGTGGCCCCAGTTCTAGGCTTTCTAATATTCAGCTTCTGTTCATTTCATTAATTCTCCTGCAGAGAAGCGATATCCTACTACCGCCCTGCCCATCTTGGGGTGGGGGGTTGTCTAGGTGGCCTTGAACCAGTTGTTTGCATAATGGCTTTCCTTTGTTCCCAGTTGCTGGGGTTAGGGGGCTTTGATTAAACAAAGCTGCCTCCAGGCAAGGGAGTTGGCCCCTTTGTAAACAAAGCCTCCTGTAGTTTTCCTACAGGGGAGAAAGATGCTTCCATTGTTAGCAAGACAGGCTGCAGGTGCTTAAGATCTTAAGCTTGGGCGGTTCACCCCTCTCAGGACCAAGGTGAGGTTCAAAGAAGCAGAGTTGTTTTTCCCTGTAAGGTTATGGTTGTGAGGGAGGAGAGTGGGTTGAAGAAGTTATTGCATAACCTTGCACTTGTGTTTGGCTGGTGATTCACATTTATGGGAGGGTAATCTGCAGCCAATAAAATCTCCTAAGATCATGCCGGCTGCGTGATCTGTTTTGATTTATGCCTGGCCGGGACCCTGATGATTATAGCTATAAGGAGGGAGAGTCTGACCTTTGGAACTTTGCCTCTTACCACTTGACCTGACATATTCTGCGTTTCACTCAATTAACGTGTATATATATTTATATCTCCTAATTCCGGGAAAGGGCCTTCTCTTATGCATGTGTGATCATTTCTGTCTCAGCCGTATTTTCCTTCTGCTCTCCAAGGATGGATCTCCAAGATTCATCTCTGTCTGTCCTGCAAAGCCTCCCCTGGCCTGGCTCACAGCTCTGTGCTCAGCCCTCTGTGGAAGCCGCGCCTTCAGATTCAGAATGTCCCTCCTCACGTGTTACCCCGCAGGATGGGCTGCATGGATCTTAGTCTTCGTGGGTCTGGTGCTCTGTACACGTGTGCTCAGTGAACTGCGTGAGTACGGGTGGGAAACACACAACACAGAAGGCTCCACTCTCCATTTCCCGCTCGCTGCAGACATCACCTATCGATGGGTTCAGACTCAGAGTTTGTCTCCATCTAGGGCTCCATCAGACACTCTCAATCAATTACAGTTGGCTCTGTGGATGGAAGCTTGTATGCCAGGGTCTTTCTGATGGATGCTTCTCAATGTCTGCTCCCCAGATTCCTTGCTTCAGAGACTCTGTGACTCTGTAGGGATGGCCCTGCATAGCCTGCCTTGGAAAACAAGGACCTGAGGTGACTTCGGGGCATGCTAAATACGGATACAAACCAATCTAGCTGTCACTGTTGTGAGTTCCTGAAATGAGGACAGGCGGCATAACTTAGTGTTTCTTGCATGCCTTTGACAAATATTACCAAAATGGGAGAAGGAGGACAGTGGGGCAGCACCCTTCTCCTCCTTACTCCACAGCTCCTCTGTGACTGATAAGACTCCCAACGTCAACCCCTCTGACACCCCAAAAAACTCCGCCCTAGTAATTCATTCATATTCTGCCTTAATTTTTAAAATAAAAGTATAGAAGTCATATCACATTGTAGCGATCTCTCTCTACATTGATAATTTAAAAAAAATTTTCAAAATTTCTCCCATCCTACCATCTTTGTGAACCCCTAGCCACTGATGAGGTTTATTATATTTGAGCCAAAAAGAAAGATGGCTTTGAATGACAGCCAAGCGTGGAGAAGTTCTGTGGCAGATCCGCACCTAATTTCAGAGTGGGAAGCTGCTTATCTGAAAGAAGGAACCCACGCAAGACTCCGCCCACTCACCTCTCTAAGCCGTCCGTGGATCTGGGGTTTCTTTGTATGGAGTTGGAGTTTCAGTTCCCAGCGCCTTGCACTTGGGGCTTCCTGTCTTCTCTCTACCCTCGGCTGCACCACATCCTTGACACCTGCTCTGCCTCTGCTTCACCCTCCAGGCTCTTCCCAGACTCTTACCCTCTCTTTGTCCAATTACCTTGAACAGGGCACAGCAAAGAGCGTCCCAGAATGGGGTTTGGGAAAAGGTTTGAGGATGAATGAATGAGGTTGGTGATGGCAAGACCGAGTAAGGGAAGCAGAAGGAGACAAGAGGAAGGTGTGATCATTCCTGCTGTTCTGGATTTCTCTGAGTACAGCCGGACAGCCCAGGGCAGGGAGGAAGGGAACTGACCTCTGTTCAGTAGTCACTGTGTTATGTCGAGCTTCTATATACATCGTCTTGCCATTTATGTCCTCCTTATAACTGTCCCACCACAATACCCGTCATTATCTGCTTTGTTTTTCTAGTAGAGGAAACTGGAGATCAGCAAATTTCATTCCTTGGTCTTTCACTTCTTCCAAAACAGCATTTATTGAGTCTCTAGAGGAAGCTGGTCTCCTTGCTGGTGGCTGGGGATGTAACAACGAACGGAAAAGACACTGTGTATGGCTTCATGGTTCTAACGACCTGGTGCTGGGAGAGACATTCATCAGTCCCAGGGATGTGTGTCACAGGACAGCTGAGACACATCCCACAAAGCAATGGCACACGTCGGCCACGTGAAGGGCAAGCTGCCGTGTCTGTGAAGTGTGAGCTGGGTGAGGGACGACTTGGGAATAGGATTGCAGGCAGCGGGAACTCTGCACGTGTGGGCCCTAGGTGGCTACAGTCAGGTCACGGCTGGGGCTGGTACCACCTGCAGCTGCACTCCCTCATTTATCCAGTGCTGGCCCTTGTAAGGCTCAAACAGTTGGGAGCTGCTTGGCTGGGGCTCCTTCGGTATCTCCTGCTTTCTCAGCATTGCTGTCGGCGTGGATTCTCCAGCATGGTGGCTCCAGGGCAGCCAGGCTCCCTCCGGGGCTGCTCAGGACACTAAAGCAGAACGGGGCGGGGCGGGGGGAGTGGAAGGCAGGCGGGGAGGAGGTGCTCTGTCAGAAGTCCTGCAGCGACACTGCCACGATCCAGCCACTGCAGCCCTGAAGTCCGATCAGTCCAAGGAAACGGGGCAGAGACTCCAACTCTTGATGGGAGAGTGACAAGGTTCTGCAGCAGCAAGCAGAGCCAGAAATGTTGCCTTTTTTGGCCAATAGAGTATTCCACAGTCCACCTTCTGGCCATTACCATTCATAGACCTTCCACAGGCAAGATACACTCAACCCTTTGTCCAAGATGCCTTGATGTCCAGGAGCTTGTCCTCTAGGTCACGTTCAGCTATGAATGAAGCTTCCTGTGTGTGGTTCCTGGAGTACCAGCAGACAGTGATGGGGCAGGACCAGGCTATCATTATGGACATTCCCATCAAAAGGTGGGGAAGCAGAGCTGCACATCACGTAGCTGGGTGTTATCAATGAGCATGCAGTTCTATTTCTTGAGAATGATTTTCTATGGCAATGGGATCTTGCTTCTTCCTTTCGTATCACCTTTCCTTCTCTCAAACATAAAAAAACAGCTGGGATTTGCAGCTGAGTAGTTCTTATTCAGCTGGATTCCTGTCCATTATATATATATATATATTTTTTTTTTTTTTGAGGGTGAGTAGTTGTCGAAACACCTCTTTTTACTTTGTATGGTTTCTATCCCTCTTTTAGTCCAACTTGGTGGTGTTTTTGCCAACATAATTTTCTTAAAAACATTGAATTTTAGTTGGCTCACTCAATTAGCTACATCTCCTAGATCTTGTTGATGACAGCAACCTTGCCTGCTATGAAACATTGACCTTACTCTTAAGAATTTAATGAAGTTCCGGTGAGGTTTGCCTGTGAGATCATTAGAGGACCTTTTGTTTGTGGAAAGCGTCTGTGAAACATCACCTTAGATCTTTGAGATCTCAAGAAAGGATCTTAAAGAATTCCACCCTGGTTTTGATCTTGTCTGAAGGCCATTTCTTAATTTACGAAAAAGGTTTTGTTTTTTTTTTTTCAAGTGGAAAGGACAGTGATGAGAAACCATTTTATTTTCAAACCTAGAAGTGTAGGATCCTTCACATTTTCTTTAAAATTTCGATCCAAAATCAAAGAGTTCCCTTTTAAACTCATGTTTCTCTATTCTTTTCACACAACTGAGAGGAAGGAAGCCCCTGTCAATACTGTCTAGAATTCTTATCTCTTTATCCAAGCCCACCGGTGCATTATGCGAGTTTGCTAGTTTCCAGCTCACCCCGGGTGACTGTGGCGCTAAGCTTTCTATCACTGCAGAACAAGGGTCACACCATTTTCCTAACATCACTAAGCCCTCGCCAGCAAACTTCTCAGTGGCTGTCAAGCCTGCAGTAACACATTTTTTTCAAAGCCCTTATAACCTAAACATGCATCACCCTGTCTCAAAGACCTTGCTACATTTTAGGTGTTGCTGTGTATCACTCCATATTCCAGAGACCACAATCTGTTGCAGTTGTAGACTGCAGAAGAGAACGCTCCAACCCAGAGGCTTAAAACTGTGTCTCCCAGTTCTGGGGCTGACTGTGGCTCGTAGCTCAGCGGTTATTTTTTGGAGTTTTTTGTTTGTTTGTGTGTTTAATTCAGTAGCATTTATTTGAGCAAAGCAAAACAAAACAACTTCCCAATCAGGCATCTCCTAGAACTTTTTCGGAGGCCATAGCCATGATGTGGCTGTAGACAGGAACATGCACAGGCCACTCACTCACATGGCAGGCGTTCACGCTGGAAGCATTCGGCTCGGGCTCCTCTTGCATTCCCTTTTCTCTCTGTGTGACCTCTTTGTGTGCTCTATCCAGCAACGGTGGCTGCAAGGCAACTGTGCAGTGATTCAGAGCCCCAAAGGCCTGCCTTGAGAGAAAGAACTCAGCAGAAAGCACAATGCCTCTTATGCTCAGCTCTGGAAATGGTGAGTCATCACTTTTGCCAGGTTCTGTTACTAGCTGTAGTCTCAGAGTTCCTCCCACTTCAAGAGAAGGGGATAGAGACTCTGCCAGGAAGCCATGCGGGTTGCTGTTGTTGCTTTTAGTGATTACAGTTTGAAAGTTCTTCTTGGTGGTAGTTTCTGGAAAATATAACCTTCCTGAGTCATGATAAGGAACTGGAATTTAAATGTGAATAGGCGTGCATTTTGGGATGATCGTCCTGGCTGCAGGAGAGAGGATTGCAGAGGGCAAGAATTCAAGCAGGGTGTCCACTGAGAATTCTGCAGTTATCCCAGGGAAATGTGGTGGTGAATTGGTGGTGCAGGGATGAGGAAAAATAGGTTTTTAGCTATTTTATGAGATGATGTTATAAAGACCTTATAGTGGATTGCATTTGGGAGCCAGTGATACATATCAAAGGATATCCTCAGAATCTGTTTGATTTCCTCACAATCAGTGTGTATGCTCTTGGCCAAAAGAAAGAGTAGAAAGGAAGCAAGCGTTGGAGCATGGTAGGAGAGGAAGAGAGGCCTCTCGGGAGGGTCAGTGTTGGAAAAGAGTCGCCAGGGACGTTGGAGGCAGAGAAGGGCACGGAGTCATCGACACTGAGGCAGGCAGCATGTCCAGTAGCAGGACATGACCGACGATCTGAAATGCCCTGGGAGGCCGTGCACAGGAAGTGTTATCCTTATCTGGCAACCGGGAGAGCCCTGGTGATCTCAGACTCATCTTTTTAGCCCAATATCAATGAACAAATATCCAAATTCTCTCCCACATTTATAGTTGTTGTTACTGTTGTTGTGTATATTTTGAACTATTCAAGGCTTGCATAATGGCCAGGCTGTATTAGTAAGAATATTCCTACTGGTCACAGATAGTCTATCATGTCAATCACCTGGGAGACTAAAAAAAAATACCAAAGCTGGGCTCCGTTCCCCTAGTAATGAAGTCAGATTCTCTGATCTCGGGGGAAGGAGCCTGAGCATCTCTCTCTCTCTCTCTCTCTCTCTCTCTCTCATAAACTTTTCTGGAGGCTCAACCAGCATGGACAGTCCTCATCTTTATTTCCTTATGTCTATTGATGAGCTGGTCATATTTATCTTGGAACTACAAGGGGGCTTCAAAAATGTCCTGGGGAATTTTGCCTGACATTTAAATTCCGGTTTCCCGTGAGCATTTTGGAGCTCCTTCGTATGTGTTAGTTTTCTGTTGCCAGGTAACATATCTAATGGTTTAAAACAGCATCTCACAGTTTCTAGGGTCAGAAATCCAGGCGTGGCTGAGTTGGGTTCTCTGCTCGCGATCTCGTAAGAAGCTGACTGTCATGATCCTTCTGGATCTTGAAGTTCACCCAGGGGGTGAGCAGAGTTCAGTTCCTGGTGGCTGGAGGACCGAGGCCCTCAGTCCCCCAGCCACAGGTTCTATCACTGCGGTTTGCTTCTCCAAGGCCGAGAGGAAGGTGTCTGCTTCTTGTCTCACCTGTAGACCTGGATAGTCCTCCTTTTTATTAACTCAGAGATAACTGATGAGGGCCCTTAACTGGATCTGTAAAATCCCTTCATCTGTGCCATACCGTGTGATCTAACCACAGGGAAGACAGCCTATCATCTCCATAGGTCCCATGCCTGGGGACCTGGAGTCTTGAGAGCCATCTTAGAATTCTGCCTGCTACATGGTACTACATAGTACTACAATAGCTCTCAACCCAGGAGCCCTCCCCCAGCCTTGGGAGATACCTGGTAAAGTCTGGATGCATTTTTGTCATAAAGGAGGGTGGGTACTCCTGGCATCTTGTGAACAGAGGACAAGGATACTGCTAGCCATCCCACAACACACAGGACACCCTCCAGGGAGAAGAATGATCCGACTCCATAGGTGGACAATGCTCAGCAACACTGAGTAGAGCAAGAAGGAAGAATCTGGGGAGGAGGCCTAGGAAAGGCTTGAGGGATGGGTTAGCGTGAGGTTTCCCTTCCTTCTCCGGCTCTGTAAACTGGGGTTGAACATCATTGATTAGAAGAGACATGGTGAAAGCTTGGGAAACATTTCTTTAAAGGATTTTCAGACTCTGTGCCGAGGTGGTTTTGTACCCAGGGTTGGAAAAACCTGAGTCTCTGCCTCCTAACAGAGGCAATAGCACACTTACCCTGGAATCCAGCATGGGTTGCAAGCTGTGTGGTCTGCTGTAGAAGGGATTCTTGGCATGGACGCAGAGGAGTGCTCCCAGGAAAGTCTTCGCAGTGGATTTGTGAGCAGCTGGTGTAGGCCAGCCTACTCTGCAGAAGGAGATGAGGAAAAGCTGTGTTGCGCCTGGTACAGGCTGGCTTGTGGGCTCAGGTGGCAGTGGAGAAATTAACAACTGGGGATCATTTGGCAGGGGCAAGTTTCCAACAGTCAGGCTGGAGGGGACACAAATGCAGTGGTTTGGTGATTGAAAGGGAGTGTGACAGTTATGAGAAAAGTGCAAATCAATACCACGGTGAGATACCACTTACCGGACAGGGAACAACGGGTGTCACCAGTGGTGGCAGGGTGTGGACAAACTGGGACCCTCACGTGTTGGTGGTGGGACTGTGGGATAGCACTGTTGCTTTGGAGAGCAGCCAGGAGGTTCTTCAAAAGGTTGAACACAAAGTTACCTGAGAACCCCGCAATTCCACTCCTAGGAATATGGAGGGTCATCAAAAAGCTTGTGGAAATAGTATTATGAAAAATTATGCATGGAGTTTAAAATTCCTTGCACCAAAATATACTTTTTGAATTCGTTTTCCATGCATTTCTTGAAGTTCCCTTGTATATCAAGAGAGTTGAACACATATTTGCACATTATACACCAACGTGCATAACAGCATTCTTTACAATAGCCTACGGGTAGTACAGTCCAAATGGCCATTGACTGGTGGATGGACAAGGTGGACTATATGTATGATGAAATATTATTCATGGCCGGCGCCGCGGCTCACTAGGCTAATCCTCCACCTAGCGGCACTGGCACACCGGGTTCTAGTCCTGGTTGGGGCGCCAGATTCTTTCCTGGTTGCCCCTCTTCCAGGCCAGCTCTCTGCTGTGGCCAGGGAGTGCAGTGGAGGATGGCCCAAGTGCTTGGGCCCTGCACCCCATGGGAGACCAGGAGAAGCACCTGGCTCCTGCCTTTGGATCAGCGCGGTGCGCCGGCCGCAGCGCACCAGCCGTGGCGGCCATTGGAGGGTGAACCAACGGCAAAGGAAGACCTTTCTCTCTGTCTCTCCCTCTCTCACTGTCCACTCTGCCTGTCAAAAAAGAAAAAAAAAAAAGAAATATTATTCAGCCATAAAGAAGTATTGCCATGGGTAACACTGTGCAGGAAACTTAAAAACATGGCGCTAAGTGAAAAAAGCTAGACGCTTTGTCCAAAACAGTCAAATCCCTAGAGATGGAAAGCATATTAGGATTGTTGGTGGTTGGGGGAATGGGGAATGGGTAACTGATAAGGGTCCAAGATTTCTCTCTGGGGTAATGAAAACGTTCTGGAACTAGGTAGTGATGATGGTTACACAACTTTGTGAATACACTAAAAACCACTGAATCGCAAACTTTGAAAGGGTGAATTTTATGGTATGTGAATGATATCTCAATAAAAATAATAAAAAAGTAAATGGGATCTTATTTTGTGGTCCAAGCAGCCGAGGTCTGCAATAGCTCAGTGATGTAGGAAAAGTCACAGTTTCTGGGGGACTCTTGACCCTTCCCGTGAGAAACTGCTCAGCAGCCTGGCCTCACTCCCCTGGCATTCCTGGCTCCAACTCTTCTTTCTTAATGAAAGTCATTCCTCCTGATTAATTACTTCCTATCCAGATCCTTCGATTCCATCCAGACAGAATACAAACTGCTTACAAGGGAATCTTTAATATTCCCCCACCTTCTTCTGAATATATATATACACACATATATAAACATATATATATATATTTCAGGAGAAGTGTTTGCATGCTTTATCTATATTCAAATATATTAGATAATGATACAGTATTCAAACACATGCTCTGCCTATATGTGGTGTTTAGGTAGCTCATGGAAAATGCATATAATGAAAAGACCTTGCAAGGATTTCAAAAATGTTTCTGCACCAAAATAAACTTGCCTTTTAATTCCATTTTTCTGTGGACTCTTTGAAGTTCTCCTGTGTCTATCTGAGTGTGTGCATGTATTTATATATGATGCTTACGGTATAGTGTTTGTATTATAAACAAATCACCTTTCTCGACTGCAAGTTGCTCACAGTGTCTGCTGGGATTCTATCTGTTGAACGCGAGCTAACACAGCTTCGCTCTCTTTGAGAACGAACTATGTCTACATGCCGATCTCCTTTCAGATGTGGCATTGTTTAAGACTCAACTCATCCTCTCCAATTTTTGATTCAACTTCTTAGTCTTTAGTGCAGATGTATCCTCCAGCCTTTCAGGTCCAACCCCAGGGGTGAGTAAACACAGGTCTTCCTCTCCTGGTAGATGGGGCTCAGCACCAAGATGCCCCTCTGAAGGGCTCCGCCTGGAGCGGTCCCCGCGGGTGAGAGTGGAGGCTGCCCTGGCTGGATTCAGATGGGCCCCAGGGCTGTTGCTCAGGAACAGAAAGTGAGGTGCGGGAATCTGCGTGGTAGTTAAGATGCTGCCTGCGACGCCTGCATAGCACACTGGGCTGCATGGGTTCGAATCCAGCCTCTGCCTCCTATCCAAGCTTCTGGCTAAGGCACAACCTGGGAGGCAGCAGGTGATGACCCAAGTACCTGGGTCCCTGCCACCCATGTGGGACACCTGGATTGAGTTCCTGGCTCCTGGATTTGACCTTGCCCAGCTCTGGCTGTTGTAGGCACTTGGAGGAGTGAACCAAATGCCTTTGAAATAAAATAAAAATAGATAAAAATTTTTTTAAAAATCATGAAAAAAAATAGGAAACTTGTGGTTTTTCAGAAGAATGGCAAAAATTAACAAGTGTTCACTGTAGTTAATTTTCGAATCCCCAGCACTTAGAATGGGGTGAGCATTTAGTGAACACTATTGAATTGAATGAGACCCTGAAATACACTACCAGCTTCTAACTCACAGCCTGGAGGAAGGCGTGAAATACTTTGAAAGGTGGGCTGTACAGGGAGAACATTTGATATTAAGTCCTCAAGATAACTGGCATTTAGGTCTGTAAGGCACAAGCTCTGACGTTCATTTTGGGTATTTCTTCCAAATCAGCAATAGCACCGTAGCTATTCTGCAAGTCCGAATCAGCAGATTCCACTCTTTGTGTTTACTTTCTAAACATCATTACTCTTTAAACATTCAAGGAAAGCTCCAGACCCTTCCCTCCCTTAGAAAATGCTACATCCTGCAATATCTTTTGTGGCATTTTGGGAGTCTCTCGACCTCTGAGAGTGCCAGCTTGAGCAGCTTTGTTATTAATAACTACATCTGGCATTGGATTTTGTGCATTTCACAATCCCCTTGTCTTCCGACTCTTTGCTCTTGGAAGTACCCTGACTCAGGACTAGAGGGCATTGTACGCCTTGCAACCGCATCCGACAGTGCAGGCGCGCCTCAGATTTTCACACAAAAAGGCTTGTTCACTGCTCAGTTAACAAGTGAGTCCTTCCGCTCCCAGGAGGGAGTGAAGGCAGCCCCCTGTGAAGGCTGGGATGGGGATGAGGGGAGAAGAATTGCCTAGAAATGTTTCCTCATTTTTATGCTGATGAAACGTTGGCAATCTCTCTAGAGTTCAAGTGCCTGATTTGGACTGATTTCCCAGCAAGGCTCCTGGTGTGCTGGGATGTGCCCCATGAGGTTCCAACTCTCATCCCTGCCTCTGGCTTCCTGTGGGGTTTCAGGAAGTCCCCCTCCTTCTGCTGTGCCTCAGTGATTCTCCCTGCACAAGGCAGGGATGGGGTTAGCTGCTCCCAAGCTAATCACAGTGTGGGATACTGTTCATATTCAAGTGTTTCAGGTGTGGTGGAGCCGTGAAGAGGGAAAATAACGCAGCCAATGATGCCCGTGGAAATGAACAAACCCATGGGGATTTGGGCCAAACAAATCCAGCGGGTGACAATGGGGAGGCGAAGGAGAAGGTCTTTTCACACTGGCGAATGGTTAGTGGATGAATGAATGTACTTATCTGAAAAGGAAGGCACCGCAGTAGACAGTCCCTGAGCTGGTCCTACAGACCACCCTCCTCTTCAGCAATGCCTTTAAGTGGACACTGAACCCAGTGAACTTATGTCTGCTTAACAGAATGCGGCAAACATGATGGGATGTCCCTCTATGCAGCAGGTTACAGGATGACAAATTCCATCTTGCACAGTCTCCCTGGTTTGTTACGAAGGCTAAGCCAGCTGCCATGTTGTGAGCTACCCCATGGAGAGGCTCTCATAGTAAGGAGCTAAGGGCCCTAAGGGAAGTGTCTGGCCTACAGTCATTGAGAAAGAGAGCTCTGTAATCCATAGCCCTGGTGGCGCTGAGTCCTGCAACAGCCCCAGGAGGGAGCTCAGAAAGATTCTCACCCAGTCGAGCCTTCAGATCAAACTGGTTGACAGCTGTGATCATAGACGCCAAGGGTCCTTGAGGCAGAAGCACCCAACTAAAGCCACGCCTGGACTCCTGGCCCCGTGTGAGGTCATACATGTTTGCTGTCTGAAGCTGCTATGCTTTGAGGTGGTTTGCTAAGTAGCAATATATAACTAACACGAGTATTAAAGCACAAATTGTGAACTATTCTCCTTCATAGTAGTGGGACTTGGGGTCAGTCTTTTAACTTCTCTAAATCTTGATTTTGTTGTCTGTGGATGGTACCTATACCACAGGATCGTTGTGTTGTCAAAATGAGATCATACATGACAAGTGCTTGAAACAATGTTTGGAACGTGAGCAATAAATGACAGCTGTCACCCCCCCCCCCCCCCCCCACCACATCAAAGGAATCCAGTAACAGAAAGGGAGAAGCCAGCAGCTGTCCTAGAAAACACTCTGTCCAGAGATGCTTCCTGTCCCTTTGCTTCCATTAAAAGCACCTACAGCTGTGGGCAAATGTCTGGCCAATCATAAAACCCCATCTCGGCAACAATGGTCAGGTTAAGAAGGACTGACTTAAAAGGACCAATCAGAATCCTTCCTCAGCTTTTCATAGGATTGCTGGGAGACAGCTTCTAGAATGTTGCAGAATTTCTAGCAGCTCAATTCATAGAAATCTCCAACCTTTTCCCCAGAACAGAGGCCATCAGTAATTTCCAGCAAAGCTCTTTGATATTTATTTTACTTCCAATGGAGTTAATTCCAGTGATTAATGAAGCCTAAAAAAATCCCCAAAGAAACAAACACAACAGCAGAGAAGGAACCCTAAAGCCCTCTTCCAAAGCCTATCTGCAAATAATCTTTCCCAGCTTAATTGGCCCTTTGAGGTGAAAACTCTCACTGTTGCAACCAAGCTGGTCACTTTGACTTCCAAGAGTGTTCAGGGCTGATCACCGCTGAGGAACGAGACCTGAGGGCAGTTTCCACAGCAGTTTCTGTCCCCGCTCTGCTAGCAGAAGCCTCACCAGGGAAGGGTGGGTAGGAAAGCACTCCCATCTCCCAGATTTCCTGGGGACACCCAGAAGCCTTAGTGATATTCCCAACCTTCAGGGGGTTTTCCTCCTGGGTGGCCAGGACG